GATCCTTGAACCTATCACTTCATCTGTTAAATGGCAACACTATTCACTGACATGTTAGGAGAGGTATCAAATTTTCTAAGTACTTTTCTCATCCAATAGTTAATATTGGCAGGACTACTTAAATCCGTCCAATCTAAGTCTCAAAGAAAGCTTTAGGGTTATTATTATTATTTGTTGTTGTTGGTTGTGGGCTTGAACTCTGGGCCTGGGCACTGTCCCTCATATCTTCAGCTCAAGGCTAGCGCTCTACCACTTGAGCCACAACGCCACTTCTGGTTTTGAGTGGTTTATTGAAGAGTCTCACACACTTTCCTGCCAGGGCTGGCTTTGAACCATGATCTTCTGATCTCAGCCTCCTGAGTAGCTAGGATTACAGGCGTGAGCCACAGGTGCCTGGCTAGGGTTATTATTGTTTCACAATGGTAAGATGGTCTCATCTAATCCTCTCATCCACTAACATTAAGACAGCCTAATATTCAACCCTGCTTCATCCAAACTCTAGGCCACTGCCTTAACTCCTCCTTTTCTCACTATTACAGTCACATAGTACCTACAGTGAAGTTTTGTGAGAAGGTAAACCATCCATAAGCTAACTTGCCATATATTAACCTCTCAAAAGGGTTTTGGAGTGGCTTTTTGCTACATCTCAGAGCTGGGAGCACCTAAATCCAGGTCCAAGTAGTTCTACCCATATATTTGGTAATTTTAAAAATAATCACTTTTTTGGAATGCTTGGTCATTTTTGTCTAAATTTTTGTTGCCTTTGTTAAATAAAAGTATAATTTAGTCATTTCTGAAGTCACATAAAAAGGGATTGAAAAACAACTTTCTTAACCAGGGGTCTTGTCAATATTGAACAAAAACTGGTTCTCAGAAATGGAGGCTCAAGAGGTATAGCACCAGCCTTGATTGAAAGGGCAACCAAGAGCATGACACCAAGTTCAAGCCCCTGATGTGGCACAAAAATAAAATGGTTTTCAAGATACAACAAATTCTCATTCTGGGTCAGCCACTGCTCTAGTGACCTGTGCAGAATGTGTGAAATGAGTGCACTCAATAGAGAGAGATCTTTATTTCCCTAAGAAATGCTGGGAGATGAAAGTTGTGACTGACTCACTATTCCATACCAGGACTTAAGAAGACGAATGACCCACTGTAATAGCAGCTTGTAAAAACAAGATTTTATATGTGTAGCCTGACTTTTCAGCAGTGCTTCTGCACATGGTGAAGATAGTCCATGTGTTGGAATTTAAGGAAGACCGTTCAGATATCAGACAGGTTCTGCTATGATGAGTCTGGTTGAGGGCCTCTTGAGAAAAGGATAAAAGACATAGATTTAGGGTTGCTTGTAAATTCCAGAATGGGCTATCACCCAAAGTCATGCTGTTCAGTCACAGAGACCTCCTGTGAGGCCTATGACCTAGGAGAAGAACCTTGAACTTAAAGGAATCAAAGTCTCTATTTGCCTGTGGCATCAAGGCAAGAATTAAGAGTATAAGACAAAACATAGGCAAGTATATGGGACAGACAATAATGTTGCTGGAATTTAGAAACAGCAGAGCTGTAAATCCAGGGAAACAGATTTTTTTTGAGAACAGGTAGGATTTGGCCTACTGTGGGTGGGTGTGAATAAGCAATGAAAGGAAGTCTGGGCAGACAAGAGAAACATGTCCAGGAACAGGAAGGGGCACACCTCAGGCTGTTCCTGTGACCCTGCCCCTTCCTCTCACTGGCAATCTCTCTGTCTTTGTGAGTCTAGCTTACCAGTTCTTCCTTTCCCACAGACTCCAGAGTCCTCCATCAGAGCTCCTTTCTCTGTCAGCCTCACATGGTACCCTTCCATGACACCTCACTCTACCTTTGGTGAAAGTTGCTTCCACGTATAGTTTCCCAATGAAGCCACCTCTTTTTTTTTGGGGGGGGGTCATGTCGTGGGCCTGAATTCTGGGCCTGGGTGCTGTCCCTCAGCTCTTCAGCTCAAGGCTAGCACTCTACCACTTGAGCCACAGCGCCACTTCCGGCTTTTTTTTTTTCTGCTTATGTGGTGCTGAGGAATAAAGCCCAGGGCCTCATGCATGCAAGGCAAGCGCTCTACCACTGAGCCACCTTCCCAGCCCCTGAAGCCACCTCTTTTTAAGGCAGGGGGCACATCTTATTCACTACATATCATACCCGCTGCTGAGTGCCCCAGAATTCCATGTATTTCAAAATATGGTTTCACTGGATTGGATGGGAACTAAAGTAGGATAGAGCCAAATCATAAATAGATATTTACATCAAAGTTCGTTCATTCAGTACATATTTATTGAATGCTGACTGTGTGCCAGTTTCTATTCTGGGCCCAGGGAATATATCCACAGTCAAACCAATTACAAATCTCTCTGCCCTTGTGGAGCTTACACTCTATAAATCTATCCTAATAATGGAATTGGCAACAGATTACATAAATCCAACCACCACTATTGGCAAAAGAAAGACATTTTAAAACAGTATCATTAATGCTACAAAGCCTAGTGCTGATAATGCATTTTAATTATATATTGTATTTACTATATACATAATATATTCATATCTATATATCACTACACAGAGATTCAGATTAAAACTGTGATGAGAACTTTATTGGCAATTTAAGAGATTTTTTTTCGAGGATCATTTTGAGCATGTTGATTTTGTTTCTAGGCAAATCTTTAAAACCTAATCACTTTTCAAGTTGTAACTCCACTGTACTGAAGTGAAGACTGAGGTTGTTGGGCAAAAAAGAACCATTTTAGGTACTTGAGTATGCAGGTGGTGAAAGAATGAATCCACACTTCACCCAGCATAGTCTGGAAGTGGAATAAGAGACAAGAGACAAACAGACACTCATGTGGTCACACAGGGTCAGCCTAGAGTGCATTCACAACAAAAGGAAGAAGAAAAGAACAATTCGTGACTCATTTTCCATTTTCAAAGATAACTAAAATTCATAAAAGTCATAAAAATTTATAAGTAATGCTAATTATAAAAATCTAAAAGAAAATTATTAATATATTGACTTTCTATGATGAAAGATTTAATGTTTTCATGTATTTTTCAGAGTATTAAAAAAGAATACCCAAGTAAGAAAATCACCTTAAAATTTTGCAATAATTTTACTTTATATACATGAAGACCAATTATTTAATCTGGAAAAAATATTCACTTATACATTGTAAAAAAAAGTTTTCTTGAATGACTATAAATATCCCATAACCATAAAGCTACAAAGAGATACATAGTCCTTACAGCAGAGTTCAGAAAACAGAAACAATGATTACAGAGTGATAAGCACCAAGGTAGAGCTGTTTTTTGTTTTGTTTTTCCCACTTAGGGCCTGATTGGTTGTATTTAAACATACCCTCTACCAAAATAAATAGCTCGTTTGGCAAAACATAAATATATACATAGAAATCTGGGAAACAGCAAAGAATACCCACTTTAAAATAATATAGAAGCAGTCATAACTATTTTTAATGTGACATTTGCAAAGTATATTTGAATGTCACTTTTCTTCCTCTTAAATTCACTTTATACAACTTAGATTAATCAGTAATCTAATTTGTCACTTAAAGATGTTGAATTATATAGGTTGGCTGAAATGAGTCTAAACCATTGAAGAACTAGATCCAGTAGCTCCAATAACCTCTCTTGGAACTTTTATTGCAATTGCTCTTAAACTATCATTGTTGATTTTTAAGAACCTTCACCAGGTGAGACACTGTGTATCATGTGTATATGAATGCGTTTACATGTGTCTGTGTTAAGTCTGCAAGAGCCATGAGACAGGACAGAGAAAGCAACCCAGAGGAAGGTAAGACATACAAACAAAGTTACACAACAATCTAACTAACCCCTAAAAGACTTGGGTGGCCAGACACTGAATTACCCCCTAAATAAACCTGAGGCTGAGCAATGAGGTAATTAGGGGATGTGTCACCACAATGAAGAGCCAGTGACAATTTTGAAAGTGAAGACTAAAGCAAGCTGCCTTGATCATAGCATTCCTATGTAACTGGAGGACACAAAGCAATGACAGCCACTTCTCAGGGAGGAATCAAGAGTTGGGATCCCTGGGTCTATGGCTGAGGATTCTGGCACTTCCCCAAAGGGTATCTGTAGTAGCCTTTGGTAGTGGCTTCTATATCACCCATTATAAATGTACTAGAAATCCTGGAGTGTGGAACTAGACCTCCCTCCCCCAGTTTTCTTCCAGCTAGCTCTTCCAGAGGTGTGGCCAAACCCAACAGTTTCTTTCTACTTCAGTTTCAGAAAGGGGGAATCTCTTTTTGTCCTGTGGGGTCCCTGAGTTTGAGGTAATACCAGTATGCTGTACATTGTAGCATAGTAACAAATGGAGACCAGCTGTCTGGTTTTAAACTCAAGCAATCTGCCAGCGCCGGTGGCTGACACCTGTAATCCTAGCTACTCAGGAGGCTGAGATCTGAGGATCACGGTTCAAAGCCAACCCAGGCAGGAAAGTCTGTGAGACTCTTATCTCCAATAAACCACTAGAAAACCGGAAGTGGCATTGTAGCTCAGGCAGTAGAGCACTCACCTTGAACTGAAGAGCTGAGGGATAGCGCCCAGGCCCAGAGTTCAAGCCCCACGACCAAAAGAAAAAAAAAAAAAAAAAACCTCAAGCAATCTACAGGCAAAAGTCACCAGTTTTTGTTATCAGAAATACTTTTTTATGTGATGGTTCCTCCACACAAATTATAATGTGTAGGATAAAAAAAAAGAAAAACATATTGCTGAATACAATAGAAAAAAATTTTTTTAGTTCAGTGCTGAGACCCCTTAAAGAAGGAAAAAGGAGACATGTTAACTCCTAACTTTCTATTTCCTATTCTTGACTTCCAGGTCAAAGACCATTGAAGTTCCTGTGAGGTTCAAGGTCTCCTCTGCCCTTCCACCAGGACAACAATCTTAGGGAATTCCTATGCTGTCTCCCTCTCAGATCTGTAATCATAACTCTGGGCAAATCCATACAGCTCTTTAATTCAGTTTCAAAATCCACAAATTTTTCAAGCAAAATGACACAGTCACATTCTTTAAATGCCAGCCATGAAAAATCGTCACTTAAAAAATAAAGAGAAATTAGTTGCAGTATATAGACACAATTCAAACATTTTCTCCTTTTCCTCCCCTACTCCCCAACTGCTGGGAAGCCTCATGCTTGCATGCTAGACAAGAGCCACACCCCTTTTCCTCTCTTTTTTCAAAGATGTTTTATTTGGTCTGTTATGGCTACTTTGAAAGCCCTTAGAAAGAGTCTTGGTGGCATTCTGCAGTTTGATATTTGGTTCCAATGTTGTCAGGTCCTTAAATGACACTATTGCTCTGACTTCCTCCATGAAAACCCCCCACGGGCACATCAAACACAGAGGAAAATGTTTGCAATTCTGTGAATCTTAATCACATAGAAATAAGCAATCTAATCGGCTCAAACACGCAACCTCTCTTTCTCCTTCCCCAAAGACTTAAATTCCCTTCTTTATAAAATTGTTTCCCCTTTGGGGATCAAGTTAAAACCCACCATGTTTCAAGTTAAACTCAGAAGTTTCTGAATAACCATAGAATGACTTTAAATCCTTATTGACATTCACTTTTCTGTAGTTTCCTATAATATTTTCCATAGTATTTAGAGAAAGATGAAAAGAGTTTTATATGATACTGTAGAATTTTAACAAATTCTCAGTTTGATCAGGGTTTATCTCATGTCTTAATGTCACAATACCTCTACATGAAACAAATGTACAGCCAAGAAGTATTTCAAGTACAAAATCCTTAGCTCTGTGTCATGAATAAATTTGGATAGAAGCGCAAGCCTTCTACTGAATCATCTCGGCAAAGATGGCCCATCTTCTCAGCAAGTAGCAACCTGGGATTAAAGAGAAAAATCCATGATTAACTGTCCATTCAGAACACAGAAACAAGTTGTCATGAAAGGCAAGGGCATACATACCTTTCTTTGGCCAGGAGGACAGACATGCCCACAAGCTTAGCAAACTCCTCTGATGTTAAGGATCCCTTTTCTGAAACCTAATCACAACACAGCAGGAAAAATGTGATTACTTTCCTACACTGAAGTGCTCAGGCAGAATCCATGCAGGAAACAATTTACTGTATTTCTTTACTAAAAGTAGACAGTCATTGTAAAATGAAATCTTAACTAATGCTTAATTTTATGGGGTTAACAGACCCAGAATAAATAAAACAGAGGGCACATATCAACTTGGAGCCATTTATAAGATGTTCGATGTAACAGGGCCCTACGCTGGAGGCCAGAATGAGCTATTAGATACACATAACAAAATTCTACTGGAGTATCTATTGCATACTTCAGTAAAGAATCTATATAGGAACAGCTGGGTCTTTTACTGATGTGAAAACTCTGAGCTTCAACAGAGAAGCAAGCACTAACTCTTAACTCTGCTACTCCTAAAAGGTTAAGAGAATCAAGAAGCCTCAGAAAGTTTTCAATATATGACTTTGGTTAAGTGAAATATATCATTGGTAGCAATAAACCATTTCGTGTATATGTATGTATGTATGTATGTGTATGTGTGTGTGCACACGTACACATCCTGGGGCTTGAACTCAGGATCTAGGCACTATCTCTGAGCTTTTCTGCTCAAGGCAAGCACTCTACCACTTGAGCCGTTGCTCCATTGGTTCTTAATTGTAAATAAGAGACTTGGCCCTGTCTGAGCTGGTATTGAACCATGAACCATGATCCTAGGTTCTCAACCTCTTAAGCGGCTAGGATAACAGGTACTGGCACACAGCAATAAACCGCTTTTAATTGAGTCTGCGAAATAACTATGTTTTAGTAAAGTCAAATTCAACAGGAAATCCTGCTTTTCAAGTTGCGAAGCCTTTGGGTCTTCGTGGCAAGCCCTAATGGCTAGAGGAAACCGGGTTCACATACCGTCTCCAAGGCTGAGGCCACCATTTCCTCTTCCTTGTGAGACTGGAGCTCAATTACCATGACACCACTGTCAAAAACCCGGAGCCTGAAAATAACCAGAGATGCAAGAACAAAACCATGAATCATCTGGGATAGTCTACTACTAAGGAGGAGCAAACACTTTTTACTTTGCTTTATGCTAAGGCTTGAGGATAGTATTAATAATAGAACATTTAAAACAATGACCACAGGTTACTATGGCACAACTGAAGAGCCCATGAATTAACAGATAATAAAATTATGAATTGCAATAAATGCTAACAAAATATGCCTGACTACAGAGTTTTCTTAGCCTGAAGATAAGGAGCATACAATTCACAGCTTAATCCCACACTTGGGACTCTGCAGAGACCAACACAAATTATCTACAGGAAGAGAGCTAGTTATTCTGACCTCCTGGGAGGAGCTCACATACTTATCTTCTTCCAAGTCAGAGTCTGACTAGGGGATCCTTAGGACATGCCCAGCCCTGATAGGCTAAAAGCCAGGAGGACAGAAGATGTGGTGCTGGGTGAACTCAGCTCAAAGACAATGTTGTTTTAAGAACATTTTGGCTTGCTGTTCTGGGTGGTAAGCCTGGCTGAGCTTTCTGGTCTCCTTGGTGCAAAATAATAGTTACAGGTGGTAAACTCCCTTTGGAGGTTCCTTACCTGAGAGGTAATTTCAGTGCTTCTAGCATCTTGCAGGCATTCACTAAGTCTTCTGGAGAGAGCAACTAATGGGGAAAAGACATACAGTTTATATTGCAAAGTAATAGAGTGATGCTACATAATTGTCATGCCACTAAATATAGGAAATGAAAAATCAGCAAATCACCAAACATTGTAGATGAGAATCTACAATACAAGGCAAAAGGGGTTAATGAAAGAACATACTGATTCATTAAAGCAGTGCTCTCTAAATCAGGTGTTACGAGACTGAGATCTGAGGACTGAGGTCAAAGCCAGATAGCACAGACAAATCCAAGAGACTTTTATCTCCAATTAACTAGCAAAAAGACATAAGTGGAGCTATGGCTCAAGTGGTAGGGCACCAGTCTTGAACAAGAAAGCCAAGTGAGAGTACAGGTCCTGTGAGTTCAAGCCCCAGTAGTAGTACATACAGACACAGACACACAGACACAGACACAGACACACAGATACACAGACACACACACAGACACAGACACAGACACACACACACACACACACACACACACCCAAAGCAGATATAATTCAGGCCACATGTATAACTTTACATTTTTTAGTAGTCACAAAAATAGTAAAAAATGGGGATCTGAGAGAGTTGCTCAGTGGTAGAACACTTGCCTAGCATGCATCAAGGTTGTGTTTCATCTCTAGCATGCATGAATATACACACAGAGACACACACAGACAGACAGACGGACACACACACACACACACACACACACACACACACACACACACACACACGAAATATAAGATACTGCCATTTCCTTTTTCTTTTGGTGACACTCCTGGGGCTTGAACCTGAGCTTCTTTTTGCTCAAGGCTAGTGCTCTATCACCTGAACCATATCTCTACTTCCAGCTTTTTGGTAGTTTATTGAAGATAAGAGTCTCCTGCCTGAGCTAGCTTCAAATCATGATTCTTAGATCTCAGCTTCCTGAGTAGCTAGGATTACAGGCTCATTTAACACTTCTTTATTGTGTACTAAGTCCACATGGCCACATGTAGCTACCAGGGGTACTCCTGGATAGTCCAGGCCTACAGTCTGCACAGTGGAGGACAGGGAGGGACAAGCACAGCTTTGAATCACACAGGATGGCTCCAGGGCCAGACAGGCCTGATTCCAAATCGGAGTTAAACCTTTATGTCTGGGTGTAGCCTTGGTTGAGTTATTTCCTGATCCCCAAGTAATCCCAGAGATGAGGATACTAAGAGTAGCTACCACACTGAGTAAGAAGTGTAATACCACTGCAGTATGTAAGGCAGACAGTAAAAATACTCATGGATGGCTGCTACAACTAGCAAATAAAACACAGAACAGAACAGAAGCTTCACTCATAAGACTGGAGTGATGGCTGGAAAGATATAGATAAGTTTTATGGAGATGCCAGCTGACCAGAAGCTAAGGCTGTCTGAAGGTGACAGGGTAAGGAGAAGGGCAGAACAGTCCCTGCTGATACTCAGCCAGAGGAACAGGGTGACCAGAGCTGCCTACACGGCAATGTGGGTTCAGCTGCAGAAATTCTAAAGGGTTAGCTATAGAAGAAAAGGGCTTTGTGCACAGCCTCACTCATTATAATACCACACAGAACAGTAGCGCTGAAGGGCAACAATCCAAACTCTAATCTTAGGAGAAAACTGAGTCCCAGAGAGGTTAAATAAGCTACTTGAGGCCACTCAGCAAAGCACTGGCAAAACCAGGAACAGACTCTCCTTCCAAGATCCCAGGGAAGGGTTCTTCCCACTTCACCACAACACTTCTCAAAATAACTTTATATTTACAACCTTTCCCCAAATGGTAGCTGCTGGAAGGGAATTTGTATTCTATCAAGAAAGACTATATTTAACTGAAAGAGCATGGAAACATGATGTTCTTACTTCCATTCCTCGAGCTCGATTTACTAAACAGTACACCTCTGTGAGTGACATTATTCCCCCTCGTTCCTGTTTAAATCGGAAAGAAAAGTGAGAATCAGAATTACCATCAGTCTACTTGAGCTCTTTGTAACTGAAATCATAATCAGAGTGAAGTCACAAATTCTAACACTTTTTTACCAAGTTTTTTCAAGATACTAAGCCATGTTAAATCAGTGTTTGTACTATTTCAGCATTTGTCTAAATAAAAAGAAGGGCCTCTATGCCATGTTATAAAAGGATACTTCAGTGCTTTAACTTATTTCAGCTATGCCCCTCTGACACAGATTTATAAAATTTTCTTATAAATATCAATTTATTAATAGCACAATTCTATAAGTAACACCCATTTTTTGTTTGGTGGGGGGGGGTCAGTCATGGGGCTTGAACTCTAGGCTTGGGCACTCTCCCTGTGCTCTTCAGGTCAAGGCAAGTGCTCTACCACTTGAGCCACAGTGCCACTTCCAGTTTTCTAGTAGTTTACTGGACCTAAGAGTCTCACGGACTTTCCTGCCTGGGCTGGCTTTGAACCACGATCCACAGATCTCAGCCTCCTGAGTAGCTAGGATTATAGGCGTGAGCCACCAACGCCCAACACATTCACATTATTTTAAAAACCCTCTTTAGAAATGTAAAAATATTTGTAAAGAAGTGTTTTAATAGCCGGGCGCTGGTGGCTCACGCCTGTAATCCTAGCTACTCAGGAGGCTGAGATCTGAGGATCGAGGTTCAAAGCCAGCCTGGGCAGGAGAGACTGTGAGACTCCTATCTCCAATAAACCACCAGAAAACCGGAAGTGG